CGAGCTGTTGGTCGGGTGACTTTGGGTCAGCTCGTCTGGAACGGCTCGCTGCAAGGGGTGAATGACCTTGATGCAGCGAGTTCTGTCTTGAAAAATGAAGCCAGACCGGTCATGATGGCTGGCCGTTACAGTCTCATAGCAGCGTTTCAGTTGCAAAGAGGACTTGATCCGGATGTCGACTGGGAAACTCCTTTTGAAATGGCACCTAAGACTTATTTCAGACGAAACGATTAACAGCTCAAAAAGTGACTGTGTCACACAAATCAACGTTACCCTTTTTCCCGCAGAGGGTCATTCAGCAATGGAACTCTTTGCCGACGTATGTTGTTAATTCCCTTACCGTGTGTTCAAGAGTCATCTAGATAATCACCTGTTAAAAGGCAACCCGAACTCCCCAAGCCTGACCTAGCGGATTACTCAGATGATTATCAAAATAATACTAATATGGATCCAACAGATCCTGTTTTGAGCATCAGCTTTGCCATTGTGAAAAGTTTCACAATTGGAATGCATTGAGCGATTTTTTCGCATTTATTTCGCAAATGCCACATCTTTTTCGTATTTATGTTCTGTGGTTAGATCTATGCATTCTGCACACTAAATCTTCACTCAAAATTTACTGAAATTTAACTGTTCTCCTTCACACCTGTACCGTTTAAATGGAGTTTTCAGGGCTTCTGTCATTTACTCCAAATATATTGGCTGACTTAATGTTGAGTGAGCACTGCCGAATGCTTTTAATTAAAGTATTGCATACCGACAACCGGAGCTGGCTCTCGAGGCTGGAGTAACTGAAAATCACGATAGCAGATGTATCTCCAGATTTTCTATCGGTAAGGGAAATGTGGTCATGATAGAACATCGGTGATTGCAATATACCATTACGGGAGCACCAGATATTTTGGCGAGACTAAATGATCCGCAGGCTGGACGAATGGTTATGTATTTGAGACTACGTTTCAAATTTGCACCACTTGATATCGGTTTTAAAGATAGGACTTCAGAGAAGCGAGAAGGAGGCCTAATTCCATGACTTTATTTAATTTATCAGTAGTCTTTTATGGGGGGCTTTATCAAAGGTCTTTTTAGATCGAGGTATATTCAAGCTATCCTGCGAAAGTTCAAAACTAGCGACATTAGAATGCGCCTTTACGACATATACGTTAGACCGGGCCTGGAATACTGTTCGTTTTTATTTAGCCTCATGCGTGCTACTGAACGAAAGAAAATATAAACCGTTCAACACTTTTTTACCAAGAGAGTTTTAACCCCGGAACACCGACATTTGTCTTACCAAGAACGTTGCCGGCTTACGGACCTTGATCCTTTATGGTTCCGTAGGTTACAAAAAGGACTATTTTTGTTATTTAAACTCTTCTATAATCACACATTTAACCCACTCACCTCTTTAAGACATCATGCCCACTCCCGACGTAACAGTCACCGTGAGGTCTTTTTATTTCTTCCTCTGGCATGTTCTGCTAAATATCGTCGGTTCTATTCTGTAAATGTAATTGCTATTTGGAATACACTACCCATGAGTGTGAAAACTGCAAAATTTTCCTTTATTTAAGAGAACTATTACTCGATTTTTGCATTCAGAAAAGCTCCCACAAATTTTGGGTGCTGAATCCACTGATCGACTCTACCTTAGCCATGGCGTTTGTGGTCTCTGAACACTATGACCTGTCTCACCGTGGACAATTTCGTTGGCCAACAGCGACAGCTGTTCCTCAACGCCTCTACTTTGACTATCCTCAACTTCATGAAAGGAACTGACGTCCGATAATCTCCGATACCTTGCAACCCCTCCATTCTTGACGGTCGAATGCTTGTCGCCAGCAGTTTTTTTCTCCTGAACCCTCCAATCCATAAAACCACCATCAACTATATTTTTATTCCTTTACCTCAGGAGTTTTTTTCGCTGCTGGTCGGATTTTTTTAATCGTTTTCCTTGACAATGCCTGTAAACTGATATTAAATAAATTATTTTGATATAATGATTATGATGTTCCTACGGCGTTATCATTAATGCCGTCAAATGGGAGTTCGGAGTCCCCAGTTTAACTTTCTTGGGTCATGTAGTAGATTATGAGGGCATGAAGCCTGTCCCTGATAAAGTTTCGGTCGTATCAGATTTCCCAGTCCCGAAAACCATCAATCAACTGCGCGGTTTATTGGGGATGGTGAACTTCTACCACTGCTTTCTCCCTCATGCGGTCACCATTCTGCAACCTCTCAACAACCTGCGGACCCAATCCAAAAAACCGTTGCTTATGTCTGATGAGGCCGTCAAGAACGCTCTTGCTAATGTTACTCTACTTGCTCACCCTCGCCCAGATGCCCCCCTAATTCTCATGACCTGTGCTTCCAGCACTGCCGTTGGTGTATTCCTCCACCAAACTGTAGATAATAATTATTATTATTATTTTTATTAAAGACCCGTCGGAGTCCCATCAAAGCAAGTAAAAATAAATTTACAAGCGAATTTTGGACGAGATAGGCAAAATCTGTACAAAGTGCAATACATAGTTTTTGAATTATAAGTCCGTTAAGAAAAATGAGAAGCTAGGGGTGAAAAAAACTCCATATCAAAATTTAAAAATGATTGGATTAATTTCACAGGAGAAAAAAACCCCTCGAAAAAAATAGAAACAGAAAAATGAGGGCAGGACTGGCCTACATGTGGCGGTATAGAATGGATTATAGTCGGACATCGTCAGGACAGAAATAAATGTCAGCTGTGTATGGCATTGTATAACGGATTTCATGAAGGGGTAAGTAGGCGGGTCGGTCAGGACTGGCCTGTACGTGGCCTTAAATAAGGCAAATAGTGGCGAAATTGCAAACCAGTCTCTAGGCGATAGGAACCCAGATGCGGTCGGTTATATTCATCCCAGTCCATCCGAGGATGGGGCAAGGGAGATGCGACCAGACTACTAGTACATAACGAATACAGAAGGCTTCGCCAAGAGCGTCGATGGAGCACATTCTGTGAGGGGCACGATGCATGAACTGAAAAATTGGAAAAATTAACATTTCTGGTGAGGGATCTTAGGAAGCGACACGGCTCACAAAGGAAGGAAATGTGAACAGATACGGAAATTTAATGGCCGCATACTAAATTCTTGGTGGCCCTTTCTCAGTGTCATAGAAAACGTTGTCTGGGAAGGATGAGGAAACTACAAGTTTAATCGAGTCATTATTCAGATAAAGGCGTAGCCATCTCTTAAAGGTGTGTAGATTTTCTGAAGATCTTATATTTATTGGACGCTTATTCCAGAGGAAAGTATATCTGGAAGCGAAAAAATGGAGCGCTTAGAGGTGGAGGACGCTGGAGGAGGTATAATCAAGGAAGAGTTGCGAAGATTGTATGGGCGACTACTGGGGGTAAGTGCTGAAATCCGAGGAAAATTTGAACTATTATTAATGAGAAAGAGGAGACAGAGGCCTGCTTCTAGTCTTCGAACCCATAAAAACTTTAGGTAAATTAGCTAGCATCTATCTGATTAGGAGATATTTAGACGTTCCATGTCTGAAATTTTTCTAGTATATCATCTTTGGACATTTTCGATTTTTAAACGACTAACCTCGTTCACCAAACGAAAAAACGGGCAACAAAACTCGAGAATGACTCGAGAAAACTCACAGAATGACAGCAATAAGGATCATAAACAATTTCTTAGAAGAAAGGAAAGTTTGCTTGTCAGTACCTCTAAAGTTGAATGCGTAAAACATGAGCAATTTATGCCTACAACCATAAGGAGTACTGTTGAAATTGTTCTTTGCTCGGCCAACAGTGGTTCTCATAACTTAGCTCGGTTCACGACCTCCCCCCCCCCACAGCAAACACAACCTTGGCAGGGAGCGATCGTGTGGGACAAACCTGCTTTGTGCTAAGCAAGGCCGGACACATGAATCGGCGAAAGGATAACCGCACGTGTTGTCTACGTTGATATGTGCGTGGTCTTCGGCGAAATGCCTGGCGAGACACTCCTCGACAAGTTATTAGTACTGACTATCGATGACAACTTTCTTAAATTTCCGGAGACTTTCGTCGCTGATCGCCTCAAAGTAAGCTCTGTGGGACGTTAACGGTCAAGGAGCACAAACTCAGAGATTGACGTCCTAGAGGGTTCCGTACTCCGGCCAAACAATTTCTTGAGCTTGTAAATGACTGCGCGCAAGAAATGCATTGCGAAACATACGTACTTCTAATGACACTTAGGTATAAAATGGTAATCCCTGGCGCAGTATGTCTGAAGTCAGCATGTTACGAATTCTGATATACAGTGTGTGTTTGAACAGGCGTCGCAAAATGTTTAGATTTATAGTAATGGACAAAGTGTCGGTCGCAGGGTTTTCCGCTTTCTCTAGGATATCAATGGTTCACAAAATTCTGTATGTCGTCGAAATTGCCTACTATGCAGTATGCCAAGATTTTTTCCTGCGATATGTATGAAGCGTTTACGAAAAAGGAAATGCATCCTTTAGGTCGTGTCACCTGCTCATAAATATAATTTCAACCGTAGCATACTGGTGAATGTGTGAATATGCACCCTTCTGCTCGGGCAAAATCTGGCTTGTCTGCGTTTTTACAGCAGTAGTTGTCTTCTCTTTTTTGTGCGCTCATACACGTGTTCGTTTGTTCTTCTGCCTAGCTTTGTGTACCTTTTTGGTCTACCGGTTGTGCCTCCAACTTGAATGTATTTTTATCCTCCCAAATCTTTTAAGGTGATGTTCTGGTTTCGCACTTCAAGTTGCTATTGTTGAATTATGTCATAATGGAGTTAAAGCGAACGCATACATTTCTAGGTTTAATTCTATAAATAACCCATGGCCGCTGTGTTATGTGAATATATATGTATGAGTACATTCGGACGAGCACGTCAATCGCCGCGGCGAGAGTTGGGGACCTGGGGCAGGGCTCTGGTGACAATTGCCATCCATAAATAATTAAGGTCTCTCACTTGCCAGTCCACCCAAAGGTTTTTAGCGTCCAAGAGGAATTTCACCCGCTCTGTAATTGTAAAAATCATATTATAGTACCTTACACATGTGCCGATACTTTCGGCTTTCTAGAATACGTTTTATGAACTGTGTTGTCTCTGAACACGCACCTAAGAACCTCATTGGACTTTTTATGCAATTTGTTGCGGTTCCAATTAATTGATTCTAGCGTCCTTTTATAAGACTTTCCGCTCAGTTCGCGGGCGCTGTCCCATTGTTTTCTCAATCAGCAGGCATCGCCAATGCTGGTCTTCTTAGGAGTGTCGAATACTTTTACCTGTTTGGGAACACATACAATCTGAGACCGGACAGTCGTTTTCCTTTTCATTATTATTTCGCCATTCCCATATTTTCCAAGAAATGCATTTGTCCCTCTCGACGTGGGCATATTTCCCTGCGCGCCCGAACATGCCGTCTCAGTCTATTCAGGACCTTGGGGCTGTTGGCCGATCAGATTATAACAGCCTTAATTGACCTGTGTTTGGCATGTTGTGTGTGGCGACTGCTAATGTTGTATCTACAAGCTCTATCCGCCCAGTACCAACAACGAAGACTACGACAAAACTTTAAGAGCTGCCTCTGTGCATGGGCAAGTCAACTCATGCTTTGCTTTTAACTGGCGGCCTCGATATCGCTTTCGTGAAGGGCTACTGTGAGATTTAGCATGGTGAAAGACGGGAAATGGTTGCTAGCGGCTTCAGCGTCCTTTGCCACTGTGAACTATCCCATTTTAAACAATCTTTCTGCTGTAGGTGGCTTAACTCATGAACCGGGCTGACGGAAATGTAGATGCTCATCTCAGTCCACCTAAAATGTCGTCCATTTTACTTGTTCGCCTAACGCGTTCCGGAAAACCCCCTTTGCCCATGCAGAATATGACTCGAGGTAATTTTATCAAAGAAATTTAAAGATTTCGCTGGAAATCAACGTTACCTTTTATTCAGGCAATTCGCTGTATTGATACGTGTCCTGGGCCATGTTTTTCGCTAGCGCATGTGTTTCTGCGAGCATATTTTGTGAGTTGCACCCGGTACTGTACTGCCTGTAGTGAACATCTTCCAATGCAGTATTTTGGTTCTCTGGCTGGAGGTTCGCCAATTCGAACTAATCCTCGTCGTTTAATCTAGAATATACTTGGCGACTCGTAGCGAAACCAGTTTAGAGGATCCAGTTCCACCCCATCCCTTCGTGATTTAAAACAAAAACACTAATTATTGAAACCATTGGTCGGTTCTGTTATCTTTAATACGTTACGCTGGGCTTTAGAGACTGTGTGCGTATACTGTGCAACGCTTCAGCAAACCATGGCCCTCGCGGCCCGGTGTGCGCTGAAGGTTCTCTGGCACTTGATTTCCTGTCGGTGGCCGCATTCATGCTCCCGCTGGGTATAAAGGCCGTGTGCATGATTGCCCAGTGACTTGTTTCATCATTCTCCTTCTGGCCTGACGTAGAAGTCTGCCAACTGACGGATAACTTCGACCTTGCAGTTGGCTCAGTATGTGTTTATGTGGGGTGGCGGATTGGTAGTCCGAGAGCCAGGCTGCAATGGCTTCATAATGTGGCCTTTATGGCACTCCCACTCCGTGAAATCCGAGGTGGGTATGACGGTACGCCTCGGGGCGGCCCCGGCCGCGCCATCCGTCGCTCTCGTTTTTTGTTAAAGTATAAATCCTGGCCAGTGTATATTGTGAACTAGGGTTGTTCCTGCAGGCCCGGTTGCAGGCTCTCGCCGTGTCACTTTGGGCTCCGATCAGTCCCTCCTTGGTGTATCAAATCTTGACCAAGTGTTTGTTGTGGACCAGAGGGTACAGTGGTACGTCTAGGTGCGGGTCCAGCCGCGCCAGCCATTTGCACCCTCACTCGCCTTCGATCTCTTCGCCTATGTCTTGACACCGGGCTTAGGTAGGGGAGGAGGTGAGAGTGCGGTAGGTGCTATGTAAGTCCACCACCAATGTAATCTAGTCCACGCACAAGCCACTGTGTCTGCTATCAGCCTGGTGTGAGCACACGATGGTCATCGTCAAAATCGACTGTCGAACTGTCATACAGCTAGTCAGATCGAATAAATTCTGGTTGGTTCAAGGCTCCGCAGTTAGTTTTACTATACCGGGTCCATGCGTGGTGCCGAAGCCCGCAACGCTCATGACCCAGATCATGTTCTCGTCCGCACGCCCCCGAAAGCTCACCTCTCATCCACCCCCAATTGTCACGTGTTACGCGCCTCGCTATCGCATAACCACAACAACTGTTCATCGCCAAGGCCCTGGCACCGTAATCCGGTCTCGCTTTACCACCTGGGCCGACGATGAAGGCAGTAGCAAGTGGCCGGTCATCATCGAAGTCATCCTTCTTTGGCACCACTGATGAAATTCTTGGATTCACCCAGCGATACCGCGGTGACTGGATCTACGAGAAGACCTTTCAGTTGTCTGTCGAGACGGCGTCAGCCAGATCCCGCCGCAATGGTTCGTTCCTTAAACTTCGAGAAATGACATCAAAGTCAACCAGGGATGACGTACATAAATATTGGACTGACATATCGACCTCCTTGGGAAGGCTTCAAACGTTGGTGGTCTGATATTTACCTTGACATGCACCCTGGAATTCCGCCATGTCTACCAGCAATAGATGGCAGTCTGCTTTGTCGACTTTGCTTCCGCGGTCGATTCCATCCATCGACCGTTCCTGCAAAAATCACCACTATGATCGAGGCCTACTATCGCTCCAACACTGCCAGAGTTCTAGTTCGTAAAAATCTTTTCCAACCGTTCGATATTCAGTCTGACGTTCGACAAGGTTGTATCCGGCCATCCATTCTGTTCAACTATGCCGGAATTCCCGAAGGGACCCCACATGGGTTTGCGCCCGAACGCCAGTTGATTAATCTCTGCTACGCTGGCAATGTCGCATTGTTAGCCCAAACTTTTATTGATTTACAGTCTGTAGCGTCATGTGTGGATGAAGTCACGGAATTCGTCCATAAACGCTGGGGAGACCAACGTGTTCTCAGGCTGCATCCCTGATCTGGGGAGAGCATCTCTCGAGATTAATGGCTGTCAATTTGGAGACGTAGACGGTTCTAAATACCTCGGAACGAGGCGGCCGTCTAGTGGGCAGAGTTAGAGGGGCATTGTCTCCGGAATCGATGCCGCTCGTAGGGTTTTCTCAATATTTGAAAAATGTCTATGGACTCGACGCCACAAAGATCCGCATGCACCGTGCTTTCGCCTAGTCAGTCCCCCTTTACGGATAAAATGCTGGGCTATGCCCGTGGGAGATAAGTGAAAACTGGAGATATTTGACCACCACTGCCTGAGGACCGTCCTTCGAGTAGAGTACACCGACTTCGTCTCAAATGAGACAGTCCGCACTCACTGCGACAACATCGCGCAGATGTTTGAGACCATCCAAGAGAGAAGACTGAGGTGGCTTGGGCATGTTCTTCATCGTCCACGAGTTCGGTGTTGTTGCCCTCGATCTAGCGCCGTTTCCCACCTAGAGACGTTAAAGTAGTCAACTCGTAACCTGGCTCGACACAGTTTATCAAGACATGAAAATGGTTCTTGGGCCTTTGCCATTCGGTTTCTATCACTGGAGGAGAGAATGGATAGAGCTGTCCAGATCTATTGCCACGGATCGTCACGCGTGGAGTGGTGCAATCCGCGACATCATCGAGACCGGTTAGACCAGGCATGATCGCGTCTGTGCCAAATGCAAGTATGCGGTGACAAAACTAGAAACCAGAGATTGAATCTGAGATTGTTTTAGTTGCTTCGCCGGCTGCAGATTTCCCTTCAGTTCGGACTGCATAAGAAGGCCGTATCTCCAGTTTTAGAGCCTCTCATTTGTTGGACTGTCGTAACTCTCTGCAAGTATGCTCTGGCAGCAGGTCACCTCGCCCTGCTAATCCCGTTAGCCAATGCAAGAACGCTGTGAAGACGGAATTTTCTAGTGCCCTAACCGTTGGAATGTTTGATAGTAGTGGCTGGCTCAGGCTAACTGCGAAATATACGGTCCGCTGTGTCTGACGATTAAGCAGCTTGCTATATTCAACCCCCAGTAGTACATCATCGGTTGTTGGGTGGAACAGGGTATGTACAAGGACCGCAGAGAACACATTTTCTGTGGTGGTACTCACTGCGCGTACGTTGTTTTTCAATCCGTCTGTCCCCGGCATCATATTTAAGGACAGTATCTTGGTCTGATTCGCGTGCTTCCATTGGCTGACTTCTGGATGCCTCGCGGGTTTCCTGCAGCCTTCTAGCTGCCGACTTGCGCGCGGGTTTAGTTGGTGAGACTGACGTGTGGCGGGGTGGTTCTTGCCGTACGTGAATGCCGAAAGACATGAATGATGTGTCGATCTCCGGGCTGTTATAACACTGTCTTCAAGTATCAATTGCCGCTCTGATAGGGCTTCTGTCTTCCACGCTTCCACTTTTAGGTGGCCATTATGAACCGCCACTTAGCCTGCTGTATTGCAGCAGAAATGGCAGTTTTCCCAGTACTCTCGTCTGAGGAGTGGGCGTGCTCTTGAGGTCCACTCCTCACTTTATTTCTCAGCCGGACCGTCCTCCTCCGTCCCGACCGTCGGCTTTTTGACGGAAATCACTCGGCCTCGAAGTCCGACTTCAGCAGTGCTCAGTCGTCTGGCTTAATTGTTTTATTCGAAAAACAATGGTTATCAACGATTAACTGCAGATCCCAAATGCACTGGCAGGCGAATGTATACTCGCAGAGAGGAGCCCTTTGTTGATGGGTTTGCACCGTCTAAGTAATGGATGTACACAGGGGGCCACAATAGTCACCGCCCAATCCCATTTTGATAAAGAAGGGAAAAGACACCAGTCCAAGTCGTGTATTTTGTAGAGAAACTCGGTGGTGACCAGAGCCACCGACCCGCACGCACGTCTGCCCGCTAAGGCAACGCGGGTGCGAAATGTAGGTATGTGAGTGGATCAGCGGTCAAATTGGTGAGTTGCCTTAATGACTGTGGAGTCAGTGAGCGCCTGTGATTGGCTGTCCTAGAGGCTGCAATTGCGCACGCTCAGACCACCCGAGACTCGTAATCACATTATACGGTCCGAGCAACTCCTTTCACCGTCGACAAGCTCTCAAACTCCCATATGCTCTGGATTAAATTATTTACTTTGTGGTTAGACACACCGTCAGCCTCTCATTTTATTTGGTGTCCAGAGGGGGAAGTTACTGTCTCATACCCGTATCACGTCTGTCTCTGGCACCTACGCCACGCTAGGTATCATGTGATTACGAGCCTCGGGCGGTCTGAGCATACGCGCATGCAGCCTCTAGGACAGCCAATCACAGGCTCTCACAGACTCCGCAGCCATCAAAGCGACTCGCCAAACTGACCGCTGATCGACTCACAAACAGTAGGTGGGCCAACTCATGAAATGTCAACCGAAATTCCGAAATGCGTTTTCGTTTCGGAAAGATTAATTAAACAGGGTTGTAAAACTCATCATCGTGCACTATATTTCTATAATAAGTCGGTTACCTCAGGATTCCGGCTTTCGAAAAGAACTTCTTTCGGGCTGCATGCAAAAATGTACTCTGTAAAAATGGCTACTTAAGTAGCATGCATTTTCTCATTGCTTTTTGACGTCCTTAAAAATTAAATCATATTTCATGGAAATATGCATAAAAGTATGTATTCATTTGCTCGTTCAGTAGACAATTACGTCTTCTTCCAATTGTATACTTGAAGGAACGGTATAATTCTATTTTCGGAAACTTTCCCAATTCCCGAATAATTTTGAACCCTACCTGTCGGTACACTTGCATTCAGGGATTCCGAACTACAAGCCATATATTTTCCGCATACGGAAAACCACACATAGAAATCTAGCATTGGATTGCAGCCATATTGTAAACTTAAGAAGCCGCATTATTAAATGCAGAGACACGATGTTCTATGTGTGGTTTTCCGTATGCGGAAAATATATGGCTTGTAGTTCGGAAGCCCTGAATGCAAGTGTACCGAGGGGTCGGGTTCAAAATTATTCGGGAATTGTGAAAGTTTCCGAAAATAGAATTATACCGTTCCTTCAAGTATACAATTGGAAGAAGACGTAATTGTCTACTGAACGAGCAAATGAATACATACTTTTATGCATATTTCCCATGAAATATGATTTAATTTTTAAGGACGTCAAAAAGCAATGAGAAAATGCATGCTACTTAAGTAGCCATTTTTACAGAGTATATTTTTGCATGCAGCCCAAAAGAAGTTCTTTTCGAAAGCCGGAATCCTGAGGTAACCAAATTATTATGGAACTATGCTGCACGATGATTAGTCTTACAACCGTGTTTAATTAATCTTTCTGAAACGTAAACGCATTTCGGAATTTCGGTTGACATTTCATGAGTTGGCCCACCTACTGTTTGTGAGTCGATCAGCGGTCAGTTTGGCGAGTCGCTTTGATGGCTGCGGAGTCTGTGAGAGCCTGTGATTGGCTGTCCTAGAGGCCGCATGCGCGCATGTTCCGACCGCTCGAGGCTCGTAATCGCATGGTACCTAGCGTGGCATACAGTGAGTGACCGATCTCATGAAATGTTGGCTGAAATTCTGAAATGCGTTTTCGGTTAGGAAGGATTACTTAGTCGCGGTTGTAATACTGATCATCTTGCGGCATACTCCCATAACATTTCGGACTTGGCAGGATGTCAGCCTTTAAATGCACTTCTTGCCAATCTCCTGTAGAAAGGGTAGTCGGTAAAAAATGACTACTTAAGTAGCATGCATTTTTCCCATTGATTTTCGATGGTCTTGGAAATTCAAATATATTTGATAGAAACCATGAACAAAAATATGCATTCTTTTAGTCAATCAATAGAGAATCACGTCTTCTTTATATTTTATACTTAAGAAAGGAGTATAATTAGGTTTTAAAAAAGTTTTCTAATTTCCGAATAATTTGGAGCCTGATCATTCGTTGCATTAGCGCTTAGTGATTTCACTCTACAAGGTGCATGCGTTCCGCGTAGGGAAAATCACATATTTTTCCTCGCCATTAAAGAGATATTATACAGAGTCCATAAAATTTTGCAGTGGATGCGGACCATAGTGTACATTTCATGAGGAGCGGTGGTAAACGGCCAGGTACGATGCTATGTGAATGGACATTTCGCGGTCTTAAAAAGTCTCATAATTATAAACTTTTTTAAAACCTAATTATACTCCTTTCTTAAGTATAAAATATAAAGAAGACGTGATTCTCTATTGATTGACTAAAAGAATGCATATTTTTGTTCATGGTTTCTATAAGATATATTTGAATTTCCAGAACGATCGAAGATCAATGGGAAAAATGCATGCTACTTAAGTAGCCATTTTTTTGCCGAGCACGCTTTCCACAGGAGATTGAAAAGAAGTGCATTTAAAAGCTGACATCCTGCCAAGTCCGAAATGTTATGGGAGTATGCCGCAAGATGATCAGTATTACAACCGCGACCATGTAATCCTTCCTAACCGAAAACGCATTTCAGAATTTCAGCCAACATTTCATGAGATCGGTCACTCACTGTAGGTGCCAGAGGCAGACGTCATAGGCGTATAAAGCGCTAATACCCCCCTCCCTCTAGACACCTAATAAAATAAGGGCTGACGGTGTGTCTAACCACAAAGTGAATAATTTAATCCAGAGCATATGGGAGTTTGAGAGCGTGTTGACGGTGAAAGTAGTTGCTTGGACCGAACGCAAAGCCGATCCTGGGGTCACTGTAGAGGCACGATTGAGGCATCGGCTGGAGCACGTGCTGGCGTGATAACGTCAATGTGTCAATGAGTTGGCGGTTGGTATGAGAGCCAAGAGCACGTCCAACGCAGTGCATTCCTCTGAACGCCGTCAGACGAAGGACTTCACTGTCGTCTGGACCCAGATGTGGAATAGGTCACAGAGCGTGTCAAACACAGTGAGGTTCCATCGAGTTAGGCACATAAGTGGGCCGTCAATCTCGAAGATCATGAGGGAAGATGCCGGTGATAGTGACAACAAGCGTGTCCGAAGAGGTGGAAACGTCCGGTTTTGGTACGGCCTCAAAACTGCTCTCACATTATGGTTGGGATCCAGCGCCCGGATCATTTTCATGGCCGTCTTCATTCACGACCAGAGTTCGGTAGCTGCGTTTTACTTTCCGTGTACACGATGAGTCAAGTGGAGATTTTGTTGCAATTAAGCGTGGTGGTGCTAGGTGGTTGCGCTTAGGTCACGTCGGGGTCACCAATATGTATCGTCAAGGTATTTGGTGCACTCAGTGCCACAATAATCACAGGCCAATTCCGTTCAGGTGGAAAAAGGGAATGATACCAGTGAGGGCCGTCTAATCTGTACGGGAACTCAATGGTGGTCGGAGTCCCTCCTACGCGCGGCCAGTTCTGGCGTCGCGTGCGTCTGCCCGCTGGGGTAATGTGTGTGTTTCCTGTAAGAGCTAGTCATCTCCAGCCTGACGAGTTGACTGGGCGGTTGCGAAGTCTTGGATGATTGTGGTTGGCTGTCCTAGAAGTTGCATTTGCGCATGTTCCGACCTCCCGAGAGCTGTGTTCACATGGTTACTAACGTGGCATAGGTGCCAAAGGCGGACGACATACGCGCTTGATGCGTTACAGGTTTCCTAAGCCATTTTAAACTTTCTCTCAATGTACCTCTTATTGTAGGTCGGATTACGGAATACCCGGAAATTCGGAGTTAGCCTTTTATATTCACCACCGCGCACCGATGCTGTCGCATAGCATCCCAGTTAATGCGGAGCGTCTCTCCGTGCTGGAATGCCACTCCCTATTCCACCGATTTCTCCGCTATTTCCTCTACAACAACGGTCAGCTCTCCGAACAGGGTTTCATGGCTGGAGAATGGGATTTGTCACTGCCGGTAGTTTTGTAGTTTTCATTCTAAACGCCTGCCTCGTTTGTAGAGTGAATGTTCCCAAAACCCGCGGATGTCGTCATGCTTCGAAACCCTCCAAAGGCTGGAAAAGGATCTCGTAAGTCTGGCAAGCTACCCGGTTGACCAGTTTCTCGTTATCCTGGGTGCTAATACCTCGCGGCCTGTACGTGCGGTGCTTTTGGATTTCACCGCTTGCATTTCCACCTATGCCTGTGATGATGGTGTCCCGGCAAGGCAGAAGTTCGCTCCCTTTTTTCAGTCCTTGACCTTGGATCCAAAGTTCCGGGAGTTTCTCAGTCCGACCGCTCCCACTCGAGCACACGTTTATTTCCGAGTGAACAAGGACTTCCAGAACCACTTCTTTATTCCACGTCAGACGTTTAAACTGCTCTCCCTCAAAAATTTGCACATACTCTGTATTGTCCCAGGTCTTGAAGATACCATGGAGTTGTCTGGTTGCGATACAACTGCTGATGCATCAAAAGATCCAGCTAGGGACATTACACTTGACGATGATGAGCGAAGTTTGCATTTCACTTGGTTTTCATGCCCCTCCGTTGTAAAGGGCTCGGCGGAGTAGCTCTTCAAACCTCGTTTCGTGATCTCTGCTCTGTAAATAGCGCACTGTCCTTGTCATAAAGCCGTTCCTGTACATTCTAGAGGCAATTTCCTCGTCGTAATAATCAGACACTGTCTGGTTATATTTATATATCTATCTTTATATCTTTATTCCCTGCAATAAATGTGAGTTTCTTTGTAAATTATCTCTTATTAGGGCAAAACATTCTTTCATATCCATCAGTGTTGGCAGTTCAGGCTCTTACTTGAACTCCGTCTCGTTGTGCGTAGCTTTTCTCAGGCGGTCTATCCGACTTGTTTTGGAGCTACGGCTCATAACCCACGTGGTCAGTCCCAGGACCGACTGATGTGTTACTGGCAATAACAAGGATCCGAGGATGTCCGTTTCTGGTTAAGTTGCCGTCCTCAGCTAGCCCTACCCTACCCCACTTCTGGATGACATGCGATTCGAACCCGAAGTCTTTAACACTGAGCGCCCGACAAAGACTAACAATCGACTACTCAGCCACGACCTGTTGTTTTGTCGGCTGCGACCGGTAGTACCGGGATTCGGAACCGGACCCCCTTGCCATTTAACACTATGTCGGATTCCTACCCTCCTGCGATCTGGAACATTCTAAATGACGAGGAAACAGTGTCCACTGATTGTCAGCTGTCGTTTGAGCAGAGGCTCGTCAACCACCCTCGTAGCATCACCACGTCATTTGAAACTGTTGCAACATAACAAAGTTGAGACTACCGGTTCTGGGACGCGAGTGTCTGTTATCCTCTCGCACCACTTCATCATTAGGTTCCTTCAGAAGAAAGCTAGGTAGAATGTGCCTAATTCTTTTGCTCAGTCTTGTTATACTGCTCGTGACTCCGACCCGTAGGGGAGCGAAGTCGGGATGACAGCCCTCTACGTATTCCAGTTTCGTGTTTGACGACTGAAGCAGTCAGTGTACACACCGTGGACAGGACTCTCTGGCGGCAGCGATCGCCGGCGCGACGTCAAGTCATGCTCGATAGACAGCGAGAGAGTGAGAGTCAGTGGTGTCGGTTCCCTTTATGGGTTTTCGGGAGCAGGTTCAAGTGGTGCGTATGTTGCACCATCCGAGAAATGGCATGTTCAAGTGCTCCGGATTTTTAACTTTTTCCAATGTAGCGAGTTATGTCTTTGTCAGGCCTTTGGCCGCGTCAGATGTTTATCAGTACAACCGGCAACATGAGACTGAGGTAGAGAGGAGCGACAGCGCAGACCAGTTTACAACGTTCCTCTTCGCGAAGTCTTTGGCTGTTGACGTGCTTCGTGATACTGTCGTGTGGTTGCCTCTCCATTTGCGTTGATCGTTCCTGTCTGCGAATTTCATCGTGAGCCCCCAGGGACACATCACGGTTCACGGCGTCGTAAGTCTTTGCTGGACCAACAAATACAGCGTGGTGGTGCTAGAGGGGCGCTCACCGATCGTTCCTACGGAACTCACTCGTTCCGTTGTGCCTTACGGGCTCTCTCTTGAGCTCAACCAGCAGCCGCACGGCGGCGCATGATATAGGCAGAATGGAATTACCGACAAAGACAAGGGAGACTGGAATGGCCATTTCTGGCTTATTGGCCGTCGTCAGCCAGTCATACCGAAACCCGAAGTTTGAAGCAATATTTCCCCAGAATAATTTAAAGCAGGCGTAGGCAGCAGAATTTACTGGAACCAGTAAATTCCACAACGGCTTATAAACTGCAGCCTGTCGTTGCATAACACAGATAGCAAGTGAGAAAGATACAGAGGTTTGAACTTCGACAGAAAAAATCAATGTAAAACAGTAAGGTCATCGTATACTGCACGTAGACTAATCAATAAATTTGTAACTTTAAAACGCAACATAGGAAAGGAAATAGGGAAGTAAACGCGCCGAGGGATTTCGTAAATCAAAGGGCTCAGATCTACCAGAGCAGACTGACGTTTACTACGTGGTCAACTGTTTACATAGGTCGGGTGTCTCCCGTCGTAATTTAGCTGCCTCCAGGTAGCGCAGTAACCGAGTTGTTCGTGCTCGAACTAATAATCGAAAAGATGCTTTGGGGTCAACCGAATAACCGCTATCAAGGAGGTGTTTTGTAACAGAAGACCGTGGAATTGTATTCTCCTGCTTTAGAAGCCATTTAGGCAGGTGCTCAACTGACCTGGCTGCCAGTTGCCGTTGCATTCACCCATTGCACTTGCATCCACAAGTGCATGTAAATTCTTAAACACAATTTGACGTGGCGTGCAATGGCAAAGCATCCTTCGCCCGTAGGACTTGGATAGTCTTAATAGGGCTGCAGAATATGAGTTCAGCTGAGTTGTATGTCCTTTCAATAGCGCATCTCAATCGCCGCTTGATGGTATTTGAGATGTCGCCCTTAAAGGGTAAGGATATTACAACGGGCTTTTTCGGAACTGATTGCTCCGTCAATTATCTGTGTTATACAACGACAGGCTACAGTTGATAAATCGTCGCGAAATTTACTGGTTCAAACAAACCCAAAGCGTCAGACACCCGGGGCCCGATCCCGATCGTCGCAAACGATGGCGTCCGTCGGAGTGGGTGCAGCCCCGGCGACTTGCGCCAGAATTAGTTTACAGTAGGGCAGACTTGCGTAGCATCTACCTCACCTCACTCGCCAGTCTCCGGCGTCAAGATGCCGGAGATGGACGCGGGCGCATTGGCTGAAAAAAATAAGCAGCCCATCTGCGCCTACCACACGAGACCTGGTTCTTGCATAGGGTACAGAGTTTTCAAAACAGAGAGGCGGCTCAGATTCTCTCTAAACGGGAATGTCATATGAGCCATGTCAGTTGTGGGCTTGAAGATGACGTAGCGGTTGGTTATCATTTTTGATCTTTTCCTTTTCATTGCCGATTCACTAAGATCGGGTCTGTCTTTCCATAGCGTGTCCGGACTGCGCTACGGAATTCTGTAGTGAGACTGTCCCATTCGTCCATTTAGACGGTTGAGAAGAACGCGGGTTAACACTTTCTCCAGCGGCATGGGGAAAGGTTGCGGCTGTTGTGAGGCAGACAGTCACTACGACCTTCATGCCCGGTCCCGCATAGAAATTGGGGGAGCTGGACACCCGCTGAGAGCGCATTGTATGCTGTACAGCGTGAATGAAGTCTAGGTTGGAGCAAGTTGCCGCCCAGACGAGGCCGCACGTTTGGCGCCAGCAGAGCGGGCATCTCGGTGCACCACTGCGGCAGGCGTCGGTGCGCCTTGAGTGGGGACATGAATAAGTCGACCGTGGAGTTGACTGGCCGGTTTGAATAGCTGCGATTTTTCAGAAAACCAGATTGTCAGTCTTCCACACGCGCGAAAGACGCAGTTTTGCAGCAGCGGCCCGAAGTAGGGCCACTGCAAGGTCCCGCAACAGTTGTTTCTCAGACCTGTCAACTCAGTGATAGTCGTCCGTCCTTAAAAACTGCGCCTAAACGCAAATCTCCGATTTTAGCGGCTTTGGCATGGAATATTACTGGCCGTCAATGGCAAACAGATAGGAGATGGTCTCTCGCGTCGTTCTTGTCTCGGTCAGTAAAGCCTCCCGTTGCCGATTGGTCGTTGCTGTGCAACCGCATATTAGTGCGCTAGACTAGGGTTTCAAAGCAAGCCAGAAGGCCCGTCTACTCCACTTTTCTGCTGCAATACTGTGTCTCACTCTGGCGCCAGTCGTTCGTCCGACATTTCAAGGATTTGTATGATGCTCTCATCGCGTTTGGCCAATCCCTGAAACCAGGAGACTGGTCCTTTGGCTATCCAAAACGACCAATTAGATTTCAGGCTTGCGTGAGCATGACCTCGCTTGGGACGCTCGCACGCCTGTTTCAACGACGCCGCACGTGCGCGACTTGCGTCCAGTTTCCAACTTGCCCCATCTTATTTTTCCTTCGTTCTGTACAAAATATTATTCTTCCTCTTCTGTCCTCTAATTTATCCTCCTCCTCCTCCTATTCGGGATTCGGTCTGAAATTCGTAGTGGTTAGGGTCAGTCTATGGCCTTAGCTGCCGTGATAATTACAGTATTTCGTACCTAAATTACAGTCTTGCGACTTCCTGAAAGTCCTCCGAGAGATCGCTTGAACAATTCAAGTAAGCTGTTAAAATTTGTGGAAATACTACTCTCTAACGCATGTACAGCAGTTAACCATTTTCAGTCACGTGGGTGTCGCACGCCCCGATCTGTCCTGGTTGCTGTCTGCGAGTCTGCAGACCACACAGGCGTTCGTCTAGTGGTCAGCTTACGGACGCAAGGGGGTGCGCATTTCGCCTTATTCACCATCGTCAGCCAGTGATACACCAATCTAAAGAATTGTCATAAACAGCCTCCTTTGTTGGCGTCACTTTCGGATTAAAATGTTTTCCCCTCCATTTACGCGACGTAACTTTTATGTTTTGCGAAATATTACTTTAATTGCCAACCAAATAACAAAAATCTTAATGGCAATGTGCTTTATGACGATTTTTCTCGACATTTAGGGGACGCCAGTACAAATAGCATGGTGGTTTGAGCGAGTTTTCCGGGCGACCTTTCCAGGAACTAGGATTAAATAAATATGTGCACAGCAAAGTCATGAAAAAAATCATACTACTGATGCAAAGGTGGGTGGGAAGGTGCCGAAACAAAGGTCAGAATGCTGTTGTTTATGGATAAACTTGTGACCATGCCATAAATTCGTCGAACTGGATATGTTATAACATATAGAATTGCCACCTCTCACTTCCGTATTTTGATTGCATCTGTTTGGCTGCAGTCACTTTAAATGGTGTCATCGGGCCTTTTATTGCCACCGAAAGATTCAACTTGTGTCAGTGTCTTCACAGTCGCTTTTGTAATTGTGTGCTGAATTAAATATCTTTGGTTCGGTAAGTTGACACCACTGAAGGCACGGATAATATTAATGCAGCATTTAATGGAGACGCCGCTAAGGAGCGAACAATTAGTTGTTGATAGGTATAATTTACTGACGGTACTCTTTTTCCGCTTATTATGAGTTTAGAGGGATGGTCAGAGTAGATCTCCACCTAGCGATATGTGCGCTTGCGACACAAGTGGAAGTATCCCACATGAACGTTTCTGGACGCATCCAGATCATCCCGAAGGGCAAACGAGCCTAACGAATAGATGTCATATTAACCAAATCGCAGTCCAACATTTCACATTTTGAATTGCATTAGCGTCGCTTAGTCCTGTCGTAAATCCTACCATAGCAGGCGACCGAAAGTGAATTTCTCATAATCATTTGACCCTGTTTTTAAAAAGTCAGCAGACTCGGGGAAGTTAGAGCCTACGACGACAATGGCATGCTTTGGGTACAGCCAACGCTGTAAGCACCTGACTTACGAAAACCCACCGGAGCTCGTGAGTTTAATCACACTTGGGTCAAGTTTCCCGCCCAGCCTACTGTAACACAGTAAACCTGTGCTGAGGTACCGGAATAATTTACCTTTGACAATTTATTCCCGTTTTCTTTGCCCGCATTGCTTGTTTGGATGTCACGAAAAACAACACACTTGTACAACCCCTTTTGCTGACCTGCTTAGCTGTCGCGCTCTGTTGTCAGGCTACTTAATATTCAGAATTTCTATATTATTTACTGGTCGGTTTTGCTTGCTGCCTTCAGGGCTAAGGGCTCGTGAGATATAACTTGTTAGTTCGTGAGAACATCGCCATTTACGTCTTTGGTGACTCCCGACGTTAACGCAGACTTTATACCTTTCTAGGTCATATTGAATAATATTTAATGCACTTTTTGTTTCTGAATTTCTATTCCATTTACATTGTAGCAGCCGCTCCAGCCCCCCTTTTCTCCGGCTCCGTTTTGTCGGTCGATGGCCGTGACAAGCACTGACAGGCCGCTGACGCACGACCACCCCCGCCGGCTAGAACTGGGACGCCTCCGGTCCAGCTGCAGCGACCCCCGGCTGCACTCACAAACTAGTATCACCTAACGCGCGTCGAACATTTTGGCTTGATTCCCGTGAGGCCTTGTGAGTATGCGCCCTCCACTCGTCCTCTAATTTGTCCAATCACACGACCACCACTCAGTCACCCCCTCCTGCTGACCTAGACACTCACACCCGCGTAAACAACACACACACCGCGACTGACGCTCTCCGTGAACGGACGCTTTTCTCTGTTGCAAGCAAACCGCCAACTTACGGCAACCTGCCCTGTGTACAGAATAAACTAGTCCTCACAGCTCCCTGACTTCTGACAGTAGACGAAACGAACTTATTGTGCGTGGTTTAAGTCGATCTTAATTCCTTGACCGCCACAAATTGGTGACCCCTAATTTCCGAACACTGGAATTCCGCAAACTTTTCGTCCACAACAACAATCTTCGGGCAACCTACAGCGCGATGTCCCAAGACCAGAAGTCACTCATCAACTCAAATTCTCAAGGAGCTAGCGTACGCTTGGATCGGCTCGAGGAGGTATTAATGCGCCTGAAAGCCCAGCTTACTGCAATTACCACTAACGGCCCGCGGCGAACACCAAACCGTCGCCGTACTTCCTCCGTTTCCCACACCCGCCGTTCACAATCTCCAAGTAGTGTCTGCTGGTATCACCAACAATTTGGAGGAGCAGCTCGACGATGTCTTCAGCCATGCTCTTTCAAAGCATCTCTAACGGCCTCAGGGAGACGATCCTACCCGACAGTAGAGGCCACTGCTGCTGGAAGCGTTGCCAATCTTCACACTCGCCGTCTGTTTCTCTGGGACCGTATCGCTGGCGCCACATTCCTTGTCGACTCTGGTGCCGAGGTTAGCGTGGTTCCACCAACTCCGGCCGAACGTAAAACCCGCAGATCTTTTTGTTTAACAGCTGCCAACAACTCCAGCATCCCCACCTTTGGACAGCGCTCCATCACACTTGACTTGGGCCTTCGTCGAATTTTCCGATGGGTTTTCATTATTGCCGACGTTTCCGTCGCTCTTATAGGCGCCGATTTCCTAGCTCACTTCAATCTTCTAGTCGATTTGAAGAAACGCCGACTCGTCGACTGCATCACCGACCTTCATGCCCGATGTCAATCCGATGTGAACCCCTGCGTCAACCCTCTCACTGTTATGCCCATCTCTGACTGTCCTTTCCACTCACTCCTCAGGCAGTTTCCCCGCCTAACCAACCCCTCATTTCGTGAAGTGGACATCAAACACGCAGTCACCCACCACATTTCCACCAATGGACCTCCCAAATCTTGCCGACCACGTCGTCTTGCGCCGGACCGTTTGAAGATTGCCAAGGCAGATTTCGAACACATGCTCGAGCTCGGCATCATCCGACAGTCCGACAGCTGCTGGGCATCACCCCCCCCCCCATCTTGTCCCAAAGAAGAACGGCGACTGGCGACCGTGTGGTGACTATCGGGCGTTGAACTCTGTGACTGTCCCCGATCAGTATCCCGTCCCGCACATCCAAGACTTCACCCTTTCGCTACATGGTAAGCGAATATTCTCTAAGATCGACCTTGTGCGTGCCTACCACCAAATCCCGATCGAGGCCAGTGATGTTCCGAAAACTGCAGTGACCACTCCCTTTGGGTTATTCGAATTTACTCGTATGCCCTTTGGTCTGAGGAACGCCACTCAAACCTTTCAGCGATTCATTGATCACGTTCTGCGAGGTCTCGACTTCGTCTACGCCTACATTGATGATTTGCTGGTGGCTAATTCTGACGCTGCTGAATACGAGATTCATCTTCGACAGCTCTTCGAACGGCTCGACTCCTACGGCGTTATCATCAATGCCGCCAAATGTGAGTTTGGAGTCCCCAGTCTTATCTTCCTTGGTCACGAAGTGAACTCAGATGGGATAAAGCCCGTCCCGGAAAAAGTTTCGGCCATATCAACGTTCTCCGTCCCGACAACCATCAGCCAACTACGCCGATTCTTAGGGATGGTGAACTACTATCACCGTTTTCTTCCCCATGGTGCCACCATACTGCAGCCTCTCAACAGCTTGCTGGCCCACTCCAAGAAGACACTAGTGATGACCGAGGAGGCCGTCAGGTCCTTCAATGACGTTAAGGCCGCACGTGCGGACGCAACACTACTAGCCCACCCCCGCGCTGATGCCCAACTAACTCTCATGACAGATGTTTCCAGCACTGCCGTTGGTGCATCACTTCAGCAAACTGTTAGTGGTGTTCTACAGCCTCTGGCTTTCTTCTCGAAGAAGCTCAGCCCAGCAGAGACCCGCTACAGTGTCTTCGGCTGCGAACTCCTTGCCGTCTATCTATCCATCCGGCACTTCCGCCATTTCCTCGAGGGTCGTGAATTTGTTGTTCTAACAGATCACAAGCCACTCGTTTTTGCACTGAGGGCCTCTCCCGATCGATACTCGACCCGTGAAATCCGTCATCTTGACTTCATCTCACAGTTTTCCTGCGACATTCAACATGTCCACGGTAAGGAAAATGTGGTTGCTGATGCTCTTTCAAGACTCGAGATGGCCTCCATCACAACAGACGCCATAGACTTCACGCTCATGGCTGAGGCTCAGCGATCGGATGACGAGCTCTGCCAATACCGCCACGAGAACTCTTCTTTACGCCTTCAAGAGGTCCCCCTTCCCACTGGCACAGGCACCATCACGTGTGACCTTTCTACCGGACACGAACGTCCTTTCGTTCCAGCAACTTTACGACGACGAGTGTTCAACGCTCTTCACAATCTATCCAACCCTGGAGTCCGGGCGACAGTGAAACTCATCACTGACCGATTCGTCTGGCCCAACATCAACCGGGATGTACGGCGTTGGACCCGCTCCTGTCTACCATGTCAACGAGCCAAAACGCATCGACATACTATTACTCCGCCATGAACTTTCGCCACTCCTGATGCACGCTTCAGTCATGTGCACATTGACCTGGTAGGTCCGCTGCCACCATCTAACGGTTCTACCTATATGCTGACATGCATTGATCGTTTTACTCGGTGGCCGGTTACTGTGCCTATTCCGGACATCAGTGCCGAAACCGTAGCAAGAGCTTTCTTGACTCATTGGGTGTCCAATTTTGGAGTTCCTGCGACTGTCACCACTGACCGCGGATCCCAATTCGAGTCCACGCTGTTTCGCGAACTCACTTCCCTTCTCGGTACCAACCGAATCCGAACAACAGCGTACCACCCTCAAGAAAACGGTCTCGTCGAACGTTTCCATCGACAGCTCAAGACTTCCCTTATGGCCCAGCCTGACCCTTCCCGATGGTCTGATCACCTTCCCCTGGTGCTGATGTCCCTCCGCTCCACTCTCAAGGCCGACATCGGTTGCACTGCAGCTGATCTTGTCTACGGAACCTCCCTACGACTGCCCGGTGAGTCAGTGTCTCCCTCAAACATGCTAACGTTTTTTGAACCTTGCAGTTATGTGGAGCAACTGCGTAGTGTCATGCGCAATCTCCGCGCGACGCCCCCTCGGGCGTCACCGGCCAATTCCTTCATCCCTCCCGACCTAGATAAGTGCAATTTCGTCTTGGTTCGGCATGACGCTGTCCGACGAACACTCCAACCACCCTATGACGGGCCGTATAAAGTCCTTCGCCGATCTGACAAAGATGTTGTCATCGAACGCAACGGCAAGACCGACACAGTCAGCATTGATCGCGTCAAGCCGGCGTTCATCGACGACAGTGACCTTTCCTCACCTCAACAACGCACCCCGCCTCAGACAGTGCGGCCTCCTCCACCTACTGGCGACAGCCCGCCTCCAGTACGCCGCACACGATCTGGTCGCCACGTCCACTGGCCCGACAGGTTTGTGGCTGGCTAGCGTGTCGACGCCTTCACTTCGTTTGGTGTCTGGGGAGGAGTCGTAGCAGCCGCTCCAGCCCCCCTTTTCTCCGGCTCCGTTTTGTCGGTCGATGGCCGTGACAAGCACTGACAGGCCGCTGACGCACGACCACCCCCGCCGGCTAGAACTGGGACGCCTCCGGTCCAGCTGCAGCGACCCCCGGCTGCACTCACAAACTAGTATCACCTAACGCGCGTCGAACATTTTGGCTTGATTCCCGTGAGGCCTTGTGAGTATGCGCCCTCCACTCGTCCTCTAATTTGTCCAATCACACGACCACCACTCAGTCACCCCCTCCTGCTGACCTAGACACTCACACCCGCGTAAACAACACACACACCGCGACTGACGCTCTCCGTGAACGGACGCTTTTCTCTGTTGCAAGCAAACCGCCAACTTACGGCAACCTGCCCTGTGTACAGAATAAACTAGTCCTCACAGCTCCCTGACTTCTGACAGTACGTCGGGGTCACCACTGTCGCGAACGCTAAAGACAGAACCGTCAATCCCAGACTATAAAAATCAGGATAAGACCAGAGTTATGGAAGAATTAATAATCAAAAGTCAAACGACCTGACAATCCCACTCATGCCAAGCGCGTCGCGTCGAGTTGTGTTCATTCCATTCAGTTAAACAACCAGTAAGTTCAAGAATGAGGAACAGGTAGGGAAAGGCAAGATAGTCTGGCGCCTCGGCACAAGCGTGTGTCAATGATAGGAGTAGCCAGTACCGCGTGTCAAAGGAGATGCTGCGACCTGTAGAGGGGTGCAGTTGGGGCATCAACCCTGGGTGTGCTGGCGTGGTCTCGTCAACGTGTGCCGGTGAGTTGGCACGTTGGTACGAGACAGAAGAACGTTTCGAACACTAGGAGTCCCAGTGAGTGCTGAGTCGGACGAATGCGTCAGTGAAATAGGTTCACTGTCATCCAGACACAAAATTGGGAGAGAATACAGTGTCGAAAGTGTGCAAGTTCATCGCTGTATATACGGTAGCATAATGAGTGTATGCAAGTTACTCACGAATGACGATTTTGTCGGTAATGGGCGGAAGAATGTCTCGAACAAAAGAGAGGCGTTTAGATAGCAACACATTTGGAGGACTGCTCTGCACTGTTTGATTGAGGTTTGACCTGAGCTTGTATGACTGAGTTTTGTTGATAGCATCCATCTCGAATCGCGACAGGTTGTCGGCAGCTGCGTTTTCCTATTCGTGGACATGATGAGTGACACCGGAAAAACTGCAGGGCGAAGTCGAGTGGGAATTCTGTGGCGGTTGAGTTCAGCCACTTCTGGAGATTGCGTGTCGATCACGTCGGGGTCACCAGTTGTAGCGACCTGTAGAGAGAATATGTGCAGCATGTGAGCTACAATCGTCAGGCCAAATTCCATGTTTGAAGGGAGAAGACAAAGGGGACCAGAATAAGGGGTTTATTGTGCACAGAACCCGGGGTTGTCCTCTCAGGCGACAGTGGCCACTGGCAAAGCCAGGGCTGGTGTTGAGTGCGTCCAGTCAGGCCTGAGAGTCCCTGAGACAGTGGTGGCAGCCGCTTTTGTAGGCTCGTAGGCCAAGCTCAAGTGGTGGCCAGTCAGCGTGCGTTGCATTTGCCGAGGGGTGGTGTCCCAGTGGCTTGTTCCGCTGGTTGCAGGGGGTGGCACGTTCAAGTGGCCGCATGGGCAGCTGCGACTGCGCTGACACAGGTATGCCCGAGCTGTTGGTTGTGTGACTTCAGGTTACCTCGTCTGGGATGGCTCGCTGCAGGGGATGAATGACCTTGAGGCAGCGAGGCCTGGAACAATGACGCCAGACCGGTCATGATGTCTGGCTGTTACACCGTACTTTGTGATGTCACGACTCCATTTAATCGCCCTTTCATATCCACCTCGATGCGTCGAGCTGTATTTCAAACCCTGCGCAGACTCACCCACCCTGGAATCCGAGCCTTTTAAAAGATCCTCGCGGAAAGTTTTGTCTGGCCTTGCATGACCAAGGACGTCAAAGCTTTGACCCGATCGTGTCTGAATTACCAGCGCAACAATGTGCAGCGTCACAACAAGTCCCCACCAGGCACTTTCCCCAATCCCGACGCACGGTTCTGCCATGTGCACCTGGATGTCGTAGGCCCCTTGCCTCCATCCAATGGTTTTACTCACCTCCTTACCTGTGTCGATCGATAGACCCGCTGGGCTAAAGGCATTCCTTTGTCGAATGCGCAGGCTGAAACCATCGTGAAGGTCTTTGTCTGTAATTGGGTCGCATGTTCGCTTTCCCCTCCGCGGTTGCGACTGATCGTGGTGCCCAGTTTGAGTCTCAACCCTTCCAAACACTACTCAATTTTCTTGGCTGCATACGCATTCGGACGACATTCTACCGCTCAGCTGCCAACGGCATGGTTGAGCGTCTCCATCGCCAGCTAAGGACCGTCCTGCGTGCCGTAGAAGACTCAGGAAACTGGTCGGACAACCTTCCTCTTGCACATTTTGGCATCCGCGCAGCTCTGAAGTCGGATCTGGGCTGTAGCGCAGTTGAACTGGTTTTCGGCACTGTCCTCCAACTGCCAGGCGAGATGGTCGCCCCCAGACTCTAGAGGAATGAACGCTAGTGAAATGTTTTCGTTGCAGTGCCTTATTCTCTAGTATATGCCTCGAATTATCGTTTTTAAAATGGGAACACGATCAGTGGCATATGAGCAAAATGTGCGTTACTGAGATTGATGTCACAGTCATTGGCAAATATAGTTAAATAGGTGTGTATACTAGGTCCGTATATTTTATGTTTAATAGGTAGTGCCTTTGAAAACCCTACTGGGAACGGTACATGCAATATCTAACTTTAAAAAACATCGTACTAAATTGTTGTCAACAATATATATATATATGTATGGAAAGGTAATACCGACAAAGACCAAAGATCCCGGGTTCGAATCTCAAGTGATCCACACTTGGGGTTGGGTATGACTGGCTGATGACGGCTAATAAGCCAGAAATGGCCATTCCGGTCTCCCTTGTCTTTGTCGGTATTACCTTTCCAACATATATCACTAGTCGCTGTGCGACTGCCTGCGAGGGTTTAAGTATGAGCCCCAAGGCACAACGGAACGAGCATGTTCCGTAACCTGATCGGTGAGCGCCCACTATCATAATATATATGTATATACTTAACAGATTATTTTCTTTGAAAATGAAGGACTGAAACTCGAGAACACTCAATTGAATGCGATAACGACAAAATGAAATGACAATCATCCGCATTATCGGCAGGTGTACGCAAGGCGTTGGTTTGGTATAACAGAGCTGTTCTGTCTAGATAAGTGGAATTTTTCAAATGTTTAAATGTTTCTATGGAATCCGCCATTATTCCGTCCTCGGGAACCCCGTTCCAGACACCGACGACTCGATGTGAAAAAGAGTATCTGCGAATGTCCAGGCGGCGTCGGGATCCTTTAAGTTTTTAAGAGTTCCCATCTAGGTTTTTTGCTGTGGCTAGGGTGAAGAAATCATCGAGGTGTAGGGCACAGTCCCGGTTCCTAAAAATCCGGTAGGCCTGTATGAGATCTCCTCGCATCTGCCCGTACTGAAGAGGAAATATGTTAAGCTCATCAAGTCTGCAGTTGTAAGGTAAAGTCTTGAGGCCTTTCACAGTTTTGGTCGCTCTCCTCTGTACACTTCCCAGCAACTTATTCTTTTTCAGCCACGACCGCCACGCATAGATACCATGTTCCAGATGCGAACGAATGAATGCTCCTTAAACTTTTTCAAATAACTCTTTGTCTTTATTTATGAAAATTCGTTTAATGGCAAAGAGAACACCGGTTGCCCTTTTGACCGGCCTAACACATTGAAAGGAGGACTCCAGAGTCGACAAACTATTGATCCCAAGGTCTTTTTGTTCGGTGACACTTGAAAGTCCCCTTCCACCAAGCAGGTAATGGTGATCCTCTTTATCAACCCCTCCATTTGTTTTGAGTCGCAGTGCGACACACTTCTCAAGATTAAACTTTGGCAGCCATTTGTCGGACCATTCGCATAGGCGGTACAGTTCTTCTTGCAGGGTCCGTTTATCATTTTCCCCGTTGCTCACCCGCCATAATTTGATGTCATCGGCAAACATAACTGCATTGCAGTCCAGTCCATTCATACCGTTGTTGACAAAAATTAAAAACAGTAGTGGTCGGAGCACAGATCTCTAGAGAACTCCACTCGAATTTGGCACTGGCGTTGACTTCACACTACTAATGCACACAGTCTGTGATCGGCCGGTCAGAAAGTCCTTTACCCAATTTAATAGGTCCCCCCTTTTCCCAGACTTTCGGACCTTGTAAAGTAACCGGTGGTATGGAACACTATCAAAAGCTTTCTTGAAATCGATGTAAACAATATCGACCCTTGTTACTTTGTCTAACGAGTGGGACCACTCCTTCATCAAATAGAACATATAAGTTAAACAAGAATGAACTATCAAAGAAATTTTATTCTTCAAGGAACTTCATTATGGCTTTGTTGGCTATTCTCTCCATAACTATGCAAAAAAATGCACGTTAGACTCACGGGCTGATGATTGTTTGCACCTGTTGGAGATCCAACCTTGTGAATGAGGTATATGTTCGTCAATTTTCAATCAGAGGGTAGAATGCCTCAGTCAAACGACAACTGTAAAATATGCAAGAGCGGTCTGGCGAGTTCGCAAGCCAGCTCCTTCAGAATTTTTGCCGGGATTTGGTCTGGACTCGGAGACCTTTCCTTCTTAATCGCTAGAAGTTCCTTCCTCAGATCTTCTTCCGTGAAGTTCATGTTTTCTATTATGTCGTCGGTTGCTCCAGTCAGCAGTCCAGCCTCGTCGAGGTCCATTTCACCTGTGAAAAAAGATGCGAAAAACGGACTAAGATGTTCTGCCTTAGCATCACTTTCGATGATACCCTCGTTGACTTTTCCTCTTGACACTGAGACCGTCTCTTTTTCCTTTAGCCTACTGTTGATGTAGCTGAAGAGTGCTTCTGGCTTATCGACAGCCCGTTTTATAACTCGCGTTTTATACTCTTTCCGCCAGCTGCGGATAGGCGACCTTACCTCGTTTTACTTTCGGCGACACTGTTCATAATAAGATGGTCGTTTTGATATTGCATACCTTCTCCACAGTTTATATTTCCGGTTTACCTCTTACTTTATATCCCGTGTTACCCAGGCAGAACGATCTGTATTTTGACTCCCTTTATCGGACAGTTTCGATGCAGGAAGTATGCTACAACTCCTTTGAGACTGTTCCAATCAACATCTGGATGTCCGGTAAGGACGTCATGCCAGTTAACTACCGATAATTCACTTTTCATAGCGACAAAATCTCCTCACCAGAAATTCAGCCGAGACTCCGTCTTATTCACTTGCTGGCTGCACAGGCGGTGTTCCTAAAACAGCACGACATGGTTACTCTTACCGAGCGGTGCTATGGGCCTAAGTACTCCAGCACTAATTGGGTTTCTTGTAGGTAAGAGGTCCAGACAATTTGCTATTTGGTCATCTCTGATCCTGTTTGTGAACGTGACATTTTGTACCAGAAAGAGATTAGCCGTAAGTTTCAAGACCCTTGAACCAAAAGAATTTCGCGAATCATTTGTTAGTAAATTGTTTTAGTCGACCATTAGTGCGTGAAGTCTCCGGTGATCAATACCTCTTAGTTTTGTGTCACCTCTTTAGTTAACCCACACACCACCTCGTCAGCCTCAGGTCTCTGATTGGGCGGTCTGTATACGGTCAGGAAATTCAGATTAGGTACACAACGCATCCTTAGTTTTAACTACAGTGCTTTGCAATCGCGGGGGCAATCTGTGCTGAAGTACTTGACGACTTGACCTTTGACAATCTTGTCACGTTTGTTTTACTGTAGCATTTGTTTTAACGTGACAAAGACTCCGCCGCTTGTAAGCTTCGCGCCGCTTGCATGTTCTCTGGTCAGGTCGTTGCGCATTTTGAATATTAACTTTATACACTTACTGGCCTTCCTTACCTCTCTTCGTTTATGAGGTTAGTAAGCCGTAGTTCGTTAGTTCGCGGGAACGACATAAATTACGTCGAATCAGTTTTGTGTTCTGACGCGGCGATTGCTCTCTTAACGTAGATCACTAGTTCCCTCCTTTTTATTCAGCCTATCTAGGCAAAAAGTTGGCATTCATCGAGTGAAATTTCGGCATTCAAGACTTCGGTCTGGAACCATATCCCTGAGATAGAAATGACATCTGGCTGTGTACCTGATATCCACACTTTCAGCCCATCTAACTTCTGGAACAAACTCTGAGCATTGCACACCTCACTTACCTCACAAATCGGTGCGCAACGCTGCCACAAAATTAGTTTCTCGTATATAGTCCCTTTCAAAGGAGAAATCCGCAAACAACATTTCTTGAAATCATGGGCCATGATGAAAAAACAGCGAGATTGGTGGGTTCAAGGATATATTAAAGTCATGTGTACAAGGAAAACAGAGGCTGCCCTTATGATTGCAAGGGAACACTGCAGCTCTCAAGTGGGATTAGACGCATTAACCATGCCCATTTTTTATTAGGGTGAGGAAATCGACAAAAGTTCAAGTAAAAGCAATCATTCGCAAAATAAAGAGCCACGAAAAGCGCAAAATAAAAATAGTAAAAAATAGACGTGCAGGCTTTTACACCTTTAAAAACGACGAAACAAAACATGATGAACGGCAGTTACGTAGGCACAATATATAGTATATCTGGGGTATTAGTCAATGCCTATTATGACCCCATTGAAAACGGTAGACCTGCTGCCGCAAGGAAAAAAAACTGATAGCAAGTAATGATGATCTAGATTGCCGTAACCTCGATCCCATTTCGTCACCCTTTCCATCAGGATACTTACATGGTTTAGGATAAAAAGTGGTATTGCTTTGTATTGATGTGTTTTAGTCAACCGCCCGATCCTCTTCGCTTGGTATCCCTGGCTGTAAGACAGACGGTTTGGTGTTCGGTCCCCTCCGGACTTCTTGTCACGGGAACTTGTTTCATTGTCCTGAAACCATCTTCCTCTCTTTGTGACCGGTTTAATTGTGCTATTTTATATTTGCCACTTAGGCGTCCTTAGACTTTGTTCCCCTCAATGTTCGTGCCGATGTTTCATCTGCTCACCCTCTAACTTGTTGGTTGACGGTGGTTATAACCCCCGGTCTAGGATATACTCTAGACTTTTTTCATGTCTAATTCCAACTTCGCTTTTTGGCTTAGCGTACTCTATCTTGCTTGAGTTCCAGAACTTTACCCCAATTTATGAGCGGATGTTGTCCAAGCTTAGTCCCTGTCTAGACAGGGCAGCCGCCCCTGCACAAGCAGCTCAGATTTGTTGGTTTGGGTGCGGCTAGTGCTCTGATTGACTGAAAGACCGCAGCGTGCTCTAATCATGCGATAGGACGAATTGCACCTGCAGTGATTAGGGATAAGAGTCAGCCAATCGCGAACCTAGCCGTGCGGGCTGGCCATTTGTGAGTGTGTTATCGGGAAAATTACACTTTGTGACGCCTCCTACCACGCTATATAACATTCGCCTGCTGCATAATTTTGTGTTTGTATTTACCTAGGTTTGCCCCTGTTATTTCCGAATTTCAAGGTACTCACCCATCTCCTACCCTAACACCCTTAGACAGGATTTCTCATCTCACCCTCATGAAACCGTCATTGCTAGATCTTAGGCAATTTCTTCCCTATGTCTTACGCCGCTGAGGTGTCTAAATGAACTTCTCTGCAAACTAGTCCACTTGAGGACCTGAAGGAAGTTATAGTGACGCTAAAAATAAGATCGCTAGACAGAAGAACTTGTTTGTTAGCTAACCTTTTCTCTCTTCGTCCGCATCTTTTTGGCATTTATCTGTAGATATTTGACAATGTCCTAGACGCCTCATTGGCAAGAGAACCACACTGGTACATTTGACGACCCCCTACATAAAAATTTTCTCTTTACTATCAGCAAGTCGACTCATTGAAAATTGCTACCACGAAGTGTCATTTGTCCTTTGTCGGTGACCTCATTTGTGGAACGTGGTTCAGCACCTGTTGAACCTGAGGTTCCCCGTTGTTTCTTAGATTATGCTTCAATCAACAAGCGACTATTTAAACTTGTCTTACTAGCGTGTCTTGTGTTGAGTCTGAGGCATCTAATATTTGACATACTATCAGAATAATTGCCATCTCTAAAAGGTCCAACATTGTGCTGAATCCCTCCGTTCATTCGTTTATTCACTCGCACTTCACTGGGCAAGTTGCCTTATATGCTATCACTTCCTTCTCCTCATTCTCAGACCAGACGTGATATTTCAGACGTTATCGCACTTTTGGTCTACTCGACTCTAAGTGGCCCAGACACGTGTTGTTGGGTTTATGCATCAACGACGTGTCAGCGGTCAGCTATGTTATCATTGGCGTAATTTCTGGTACATGGTGAAATTGAGACTCAAAAACAGAGTTTAGACCCTTCACTGCAATAGTGCCACCATCTTACGTCAACATTTTCTCTGTATTTACTCATTCGTATCTTGGCCATAGTAATTGAAGTACGCCTTTGCAGACAATTTTAAAATGTTACCAAATAAAATTTCTTCCCTCCTTTACTTCACACCGAATCCAACTATTTTGATTGCCTGGCACTTTTAAAACTTGCCACTTAGTTGTCGGTGCGGACAGGCCTGTGCCAATACTAGTGCCTACTCCTGCCTTATTGTCCATTCCATTGAATGTATCCTCTTCCACTGTTATGTCGTACAATTCTCCAACTGTCAAAATTTCCAGCTTTGCGCTCAGACGACGTGGATGCTGCATCATTGGTCATGATCAACGGTGTAATTACTGTGGATGTATTTGTGTTTAATTGACTGACGGCTCTCCAGTAACTTCTCTCTGAATAGAATTTGTCCGAGTAAGTAGTGTACTGCCCGACTAGGCAACTCTGGCACCTCATCTGTGCACACAAGACTTTTCAGCGAATTGAAGTTCGCACTGGGTGGGATATGAAAATGATTGCTAAAAGTGTCGGTGCTAAACTGCTTCATTTGCTCCATTTTTATAATGACACCGAAAACTGCGGTTTGACACGTTACCACCCCGTCAGCTCAAATATCGTTTGATCCGGGATTAGATTGGCCTTGCGCGGGGTTGTTGTCGCCGCTCTTCACCCCCAGTCGGGATCGAAAAATGACGGGTGCATTTCCCTGTTCATATCAAAATACCTCTCTGACAGTCGTTAGTTTTTCGGCTATCTACACCCTCCTCCCACAGCCCTTACGTGTCGCTAAAGCATAGGTCTATCTAAGATTAACTGATTTTGCCGCTTGCTTAGATTGGCTCGTTGAATCTCTGGGTAAATATTGAATAATTTCAGTTTCTCTCCAGTAATCCTAACAGGGGCGGAAAGATTATTCTGCTCTCGGCACTGGGAACTGATGTTACTTGTCGAGCTAACACTACTCTAGGTCTTAAAATACCAACTTCTTTTAAATTTTGTGCGACTAACCCAGTTTTTAATTCCAAAAGATGTGTTGACTTTCAGAAACTCAGTAAAAACGATCCCCCACTTTTCCTTCCCTCTAAGTACTGCCAACTTTTATAGTTCTCATGACTCACCAGTTAGATTTTTGTTTTCACACACAGAATCTTAAACATAAGCTAGTCTCTGTTCGTCTCATTGAGACTTTGAAATATTCTACCCTGGATTCTTCATCTAATAGACATCTCAGTGATTGTCGTAGGTCTTTTGTGACTACGCTCAAAATAAAGCCACTTTCTACCTAGGGTTACCAATATCTTAGCATCTGCACGCATTTAAGAGAAGAGTCGACCTACGACTGCTTGTCTACCATCTTCACCGCCGTGTACGCCCTAATCCTCATTTGTAATCTTCAGCCCTGCCAGAAAGATGTGGTGTTTTCCCATAGCATTTTCATGTACACATCTTCCGAATCCCTGGTTATCCTAACTTCAGGTTGTGTTCGGCTGACCGGCAATAGCTAATAAGGCGGAAATGACCGCTCCATACCAATCCTGATCGCCACACAACTGTCTGTGAGGGCTCTAGGTTGGACTTAGTCGGTGAACGCACCTTCAGCGACACGCACATATAGCTACTTGTGCAGGATTTCATCGCCACTTTTTGCGACAGACGGGAAAGGAAATTGACTGCTGAAAGTTTTATCAAGTAGTTTACTCGATATAGCACACATGTGTTTGATGCCTCACTAAAATTATCCCAAACTTTGCAAACTTGTCTTGTTTACTTAATTTGTCCTCAACTTTATTCCACTCTTTCTCCTGCCTGCCTTTGAAAGCACAATGTCTTCCGACCATGTACTTCGGCTCGCTCTCGTTCAGCTAAAAGTTGGACTTGACAAGTCGACCAACCTCAAAAATGCCATCGCACTCATTGAAAAGTGTGTGGAGGAACACAAACCTGAGATGGTTGTTCTTCCCGAGTGTTTTAATAGCCCCTACGGAACTGGCTACTTCCCTGAGTACTCGGAGACCATTCCAGACGGAAAAACTTGCCAAAAAATGGCAGCAGTCGCTAAGTATGTTTTATTTACTCTCCTTTTCCTATTAACTACTTCTCGTTTTCCTTTTTCGCTCCTTGGGTCTAACCACTCAGCTCCTGGTCAGGACACTTTTTTCCCTTTTATTTCTACCTGTTCATAGAAAGCACAAGATCTGGTTGGTCGCTGGGTCAATTCCTGAAAAGGCCTCAGACGGAAAGCTTTATAATACGTCAGTGATTTACAATCCGGACGGGGGTGTTGTTGGCACCTACCGCAAAGCTCACCTGTTCGACATCGACATTCCCGGTAAGTTGGTTGTTTGCCCTTCTTTGGTGGCACAATAGTTTCTGTTTTGTGTTCTCTTGTTTAGATGATATAGGATGCTCCTCGTGTTTATTGTATATAAACGGCTCCTTCATATGAACTTCGCTGTCTTTGTTGTTCTGCCCACATTTTTTCCGATTTCTCTCTAGAGGAACTTTTTCCCACCGCCCTTTTTTACCCCAGGCAAAATTTCCTTCCACGAATCGGACACCCTGTCGCCGGGCTCCTCTCTCTTCTCATTTCCGGCCAAGAACAAGGAGGGTCATGTGTTCACCGTAGGCATGGGCATCTGCTACGACATACGCTTTCCCGAGTTGGCCCTAATCTACGCTCGCCAACACGGCTGTGACCTTCTCATCTACCCGGGCGCCTTCAACACCACCACCGGTAATTTTCCCTCTTCCTGCATCTACCAAAATTTCGTCATCTTCGCTATGTGAGATTGTCCCTGACCGTTGAAGACATACTCGATCAAGGTGGAAATGGGAAAAATACGGAAAATCATGTCAAAGATTGTGGCATTTTCAGTTTTAGAAGTAATACATGAGTTGCGTCGCTCCGGGCTCGTTGTATCCTCATTTTATTTAGTGAAATTCATAATCAAATGAGGCTTTTAGCGGTCACCGATATCTTGGAGCTAAATTGAAACTGTTTTGACTGTGATTGTTTCATCACCTTTGGTGACGAGTCAATATCCTTTGAATGTTTTTGCATCGAGAAATTGCCCATATGAAGTCAAAAGGACCCTACGAATAACTTATTTTACCGCCGTGGGGTTACGACGAGGATACGTGCGCTGAATGTCGGCGTAGTCTTTTTCGTCTGTATTCAAGTAGACAATACGCCGGAATTAGCAAGAGATCTGATGAAAATACCTCCATGTGACATAGACGAATATATGATTTTCCTTTCGCGGAAAGCATGCACCTTGTAGACTGAAATTGCTAAACGCTGATGTAATGGCAGATCAGACTGAAACTTATTCGGGAATTGGGAAAAATTTTTTAAAACCTAAATACACACTTTCTTTGGGCATAAAATATGAAGACAAGGTGATTTCCTTCCAAATGAGCAAAAGAAAACATATTTTTTGCGTGTTTTCAATAAAATGTGCTTAAATTTATAAGACCGTCGAAAATCAATAGAAAAAATGCATGCTACTTAAGCAGTCAGTTCTTACCCAGTGTGATTTCTGCAGGAGGTCAAAAGGAAGTGCATTCAAAAGCCGATATCCTGGCGAGTCCGAAGTTTTACAGGGTTATGCTGCATGATAATCAGTATAAAAAAGTATATAAAGTAATCCTACCTGGTCGGGAACGCATTCCAGAATTTTAGCCAACATTTCATGAGATCGGTCACGCACTGTCGGTATACCGTAAAGAAAGGAATTGGGACCGATACTGGGAAATCCATCCTCATGACAAATCAGCGCACTCCTTATTGCAATAAACTTTGCGCCTGTGAGATTGCCAATTAACGACGTAACTTGGTCCTACTCAGGTCTGAGGACCAAACTACGATCGTCTCCCGGTTTAACCGTTTTGACATCCTCACCGGCCTGTGAGACATGTGACCTCTCCTGAATGAAGCTTTGGTGCACGTAAAGTGGGGATCAGACCGTGTGCAGCACACGTAGACGTCCACTGTGCCCGCTGGTCGTCGTGACTTCGGGTTGTCGCCAGAAAATGTTGGGCGATGTGGAGGCCGCTGGTGAAGTAGATGCTGTGCAAGTCCGTTTCATTGTGGACAAACCCACGTGCGAGTAACCGCTGCTGGGTCGTACACGTAGTTAGTTGCAATCAAACTATCTGTCCTTTTAGGATTTCGCCCCCCAATTTTAGGCTAAGCATCCCCACATTTTTTATCTCTCTCTCCCTACGTTGCCAGGACCGCTGCACTGGGAACTCCTGGCTCGTGGCCGAGCTCTTGATACCCAATGCTACGTGGCAGCCTGCAGCCCTGCCCAGGACACATCAGCCTCCTATGTTAGCCATGCGGAATCCCTCGTCGTCTCACCCTGGGCCGCAGTTCTTGCCAACGCCGGCAAGGATGTAAGTTGTGCGGGAGAGAGCGGACTATCCTGCGATATATGCCACTTTTTGTCTGGTCCCTTTCAGTTATCCCTACGGCCATTGGTGGGCTGAAAGTCTCAGTTAAGCATGAACAACTATGAACGTTAACTGGCCCGTGATTTCCTAATCCATTTCCCACCATTTATTGAAGACTAACGAACATGTAAGGATGATGAACACATGATCTCTGGAACAGTACGTGTATTAGTCTGAGCCTTCGGTCTCGTACAGGAGGCCATCGTGAGAGACTGTGAGAATGCGGCATCAAATGAGCAGTTTTTGTAGTCAAGCCATGAAGGGGGAGGATATGAGTACAGAGGGTGGTATTCGCGATAAGCTGAGTCCCACTCCGTCTCACGGCGGCGTGACTGCGTGCACCCTTGGTTGGAAATTGGGTCTCGTCTCTTGGCCGCGGGAACGGAGTGCGTGATAGCAGGGGGGTATGTCAACGTGTCAGTTGATAGAGTTGGTGTCAGACACCCAGGCCTCCAACAGTTCTCGCCCTGTCTGGCCCGCCCTACCATCCGCGCGCTCTCGGAGTTGAATTTGTGGCCTTCCTCCAGGGTGTGAGTGGCGATCTGAGACAACGGGTCGCCTCCCGGAACGCCCGTTTATGCTCCGTTATTCGTGAGCCAAGTCGTCGTCCGGTCTGTCCTGTGTAGTGGCGAGGGCAGTCCCGACATGGGATCTGATAAACGACACCCGATTGTTCTCCTACGTCTAGTCGCTCCCCCACTCGCATGATTTTGTTGCGCATGGTCGCTGTCGGACTAATAAACTTCATGCATCTGTAGAATGTAATTTAACCAACATGTAACGTGAAGACTGTAGTAAAAGCTGGCGTTCTGAAGAATAAGTTTCCATCTCGTGCACCACCTGTCATGTTGAACGCTCACAAGTTTCCATTCTCGAGTCTTCCGCTGCGCAAGTAACGGCTGCTGGGCTCCACTCGTAGTTTGCTGCAATCAAACTACCCGTCCTTGGGGTATTTTACCTCCGGTTTTAGGCTCCAATAGCTCCTTAAACAACTCAGTCTACCCAATTGCGTGTGTTTGTGTGAAGCGGCGAACTGGTGGGCTGTGAGCAAGGCTGTCACGGCTCCTTAAAGTGACCTGTGGCATTCTCACGCATGTGAGGAGTGTGTGTGTTACTTGATTGGTAGTGCCTTTCAGTCGCTGTCTGACTGGAGGGTGATAACCCGGGCTAATGCAGGGCTGTGTGTCACCTTTCGAGGCCCCAAGGTTTGTGAGCGTCAGCTATGCCATGATCAGCAAACAATGGCCCCCGCAGCCGGACGTATTCTGGCAGTTCTCCGGTACCTGGTTCTCCAGCGGTAAATGCACTTGCGTCCCCGCCGAGTGTACAGGTCGTGCCTAGTCATCCTTTTTCTGACGCGTTGTTGTTTTGTTGGCCAAAATTCTGGTCAAGCGTTTGTTGTGGACCAGGGGGTGTGGAATGGAGCGCCAAGGTGCGGGTTCGGTCGCACTACCCGCCTACACCCTCCCACTTCTGGTCTTTTTGACACGGGGCCCAAGTGGGGAGGAGGAGGAGTGTGGTAGATTCTGTGCACGTCTACTCTCACTATAAACTAATTCTCTTACAAGTCACCGTGCCTGCTTCACCTTGCTGACGGTGAACATGGTCGGATGTGACGGTCGAGCTGTCACAGCTCCTCAAAGTAGCTTCTAGTTATTCTAACACGCTTGAGATTCGGGCCGGCCTCGCCAAGACTCGCCGCATGTCGCGGTGTCCGGGTCGTGTATGGTACGCGTAGACGGGTTGCCTAGCCACTGCGTTCGCGCCCACCTTCGGTCGTTCTCAATAGTCGAAATAGGAATGAGGAGATCCTTGGAATACCCACGCTCTGTAGTTAGGAATCATCGGCACTCAAGTCAAGACGCAGTGCGAGTAACTGACTCTCCCGCCCTCGTTTCCTTCGCAGAACCACAGGCTCGTGAGTACCATGAGGCGTGGTTTCACTTTCACGTACAATGATTAAATTTCGCGGGCTTTCGGAAAAATTGGGTTCCCGGGAGCGCCAGTCATCGTTGCACTCTGTAGCTGTCTGTCTCGCTCCCAAACTCCAGTCGACAAACTCCACCCGTCCCCCCATCTTATAGCCTCGCTTCCAGAGTGATGTTTTTCCGGCCTTTTCTCAACCACTGACCAAACATTGGCAGTCTCGGGGGTTGGCCCTGAAGTCCAGATCTTCCCCTTCTTTTTTTTCAGGAGGGTTACTTCTGTGTAGAAGTCTCGCGAGCCGAGTTGGATCGTGTGCGTTCCAACATCCCCATCAGGCGCCAGCTTCGCAACGACATATACAGACTGAAAGAACGAAAGTAACTGCCCTCCTCTTTCGTCCGCTGAGATGCCTCTGCTCTGTATCTTCCATAGTCTCCTTTTTTACTTATTCTCTTCCTAGACCGTTTTTTACGGATATTTTTTCACGCTCTCACTTGTCTTTCATGCTTACGGCATATTGTCTCGCTATCCACCAAAATATTTTGGTGCATAAAAGCTTTCTTTAGTGCCCTGTTTTGTCATTTCTCCGAGGCGTTTGTAGTGCAACGAAAGCAGTCCCCTATTGGTGCACTAGGGATTAGCACTCGATTGTGAAATGCACGTCTACTTACCACCAAATTAAGTAGAACGAGGCTGAACTTACAACCGCAGGTGCCTAGTTTGTAGTTATTGCCGGCCAAAGTTGTGTGTCATTCATCTCTCACCCCAGCGTCTAATCCGGCTCTTGCGTTCCCGACCCTGCTGTCCGGACCGGACATGACAGTGCCTTAGTCACCACCACCACCACCACCACCACCACCACCACCACCACCACCACCACCACCACCACCACCACCACCACCACCACCTCAGAGTCTGGTCCCGGTTTGAAGACGATGAAGGAAACCGGTAGGAGATGTATATTTTGCGCAGTATTCTTGTACGTTGGCTGGGGCAGGCCAAAGTGGTCTACGCGATCCTGGCATGCCTTACGTGCGGCATCTCCTGCGAGTCACTAGGGGTTTGACGGCAGAGGAGTGTGTGTCAGCCCTGGTGTTGATTGATTCGTGTGGACGTCAGCCATTAGCCGACGGGAGCGTGTGGCCGCATACGTCCTGAACATTTATTGTCGCACGCGACGTCGCACCTCACGTAGTGGGCTATCCACGGGACTGAAGCAGCGATCACGTGAGGCCTGTCTCTACGGTGTCTGCCCAGTGAGGGAATTCCAATGGACGCATGAGTTATCCACAGCCTAACTGGTACCGCGGAACTACTACTAGTTTCATGAACACGTGAATCAAGCCGGGTGGCTCCCGCTCAATCGCTGCCACAGCTAGTCAGCCGTAGAGAACGACTGGCCGACTGGATCATTCTTCGCCCAACATTGTCGGGCACAGCCTCGGTTGGTCTTGGTGAGTCGAAGACAATCAGCAGAGGTTGGAGCTGGTCATCGCGGTCTCCCTTACTTGGTAACGCTTGAACAGTGATCGCGGAGGTCCTGTTTATCTTGACAGAAGTTGTGGCAATCCTGCTGCGGATCCCGGAGACACGTGCCGATTTCCAATCATAGAGCATGGGTATTCTGACAATTTCCTCACGTCTTCTTCGTTTACCAAGAACTACTGAAGGTGAGCGCCAAGGCGACTGACAAGGCTAGTCAGTCCGTCTACGCGTGCCACACACAGCCTCGCTCCCGCGATGCGACTGCTCGAGCCTGTCAACCGGCTGCTGATGGTGGTATTGGGCGTAGTGTCTGGCGTGGCACGAGGCCTTCATCTAGGCGTGTCGCCACGCCACCCCAATGGACAACAGTAGCGAGCTCGCGCAGAATCTGCCCAGTCTGATTAACGCGTGTCATAATCCAATCCGAGTCCCATTTTTGTCCGGCGCATCCACAAGATGGCACTTTGTGCGTGCCTAGATAACTACTCGGCACAAATGGCCCACCACTCTCTACTCGAGACCATACTTCTTAACAGTCACAGTCGGGTCGTTTGGTAGAGACGCCTACATCTGAGGCGCCTCCTCTGCCAGGAAGTCCCTAAATATTTCGTAAGTTACCTGGCTGGCTTCCCTCAGGAGGATGTTAGTCACCAGAGCGGGACCATAGCCTCAAACATTGGTTTGTATCGCGAATTCCAAATTGCCCAATTATCCTCCTTGGGGACCAAGTGAGCACTGATTATGTGTTTTGTGCCATTCCGTAACTTTTCGCTGCGCCAGACTACCTTTGGACTTGATAGGCAGGAAACTCCGTTATTGAGAGTCGCGTGAACACCTTGTAATCATTTTTTTCCTATTAGTATTGTATTGCAGTCCTAACCGCCCAAACTTCTGTCATATGCGCGTTCGCTCTTTACATGCTATACATCTTGGAAATGAGACGTCTAGTCGGTGTCGCTCTGTACATGTGTTGTTGGTTGTACGCAATTGGTACCTGGGATCTGGACCTAAAGCTAGTCCGTGTCGATACAATCGAAAAGAAAGCTCCAGGAAGTAGTTCAGAAGGGGGCAATGTGATCGCTGGAACAGGGCGATCATTTGCATTTCAGACTCTCGAACCCCTCATCAGACTCTGATGCCGTTCTTAATACTTTAGTCATCGCCGGTGCATACAAAGGACACGTTGCAGGTAGTAACTTGAAAGAAGTGCAGACTAGAACAAATAGCTACGAGTGCAAATGCACAGACTTCTGTAGGCAAAGACGAGACCAAACCTCAGCGGGCATAAGTTTTAGTGGACACTCCCAAACGTCACTAGCCTCTCGGAAACCGTCAACGACCTCCCAACACCGCTCGTAGTTTGCGCTGTACACAGACCGGGGACAACGATCTGTCTGTAGACTCTGGGGTCGAAAAAACTGTCTGCGGCTTAAGAAGCGTCCGGAGTCGTTTATCGGATCTGGTACAGTTGCAGGCGAAGCAGCTGCGTTTCAAAATCTTGGATTGTCGGACACGCATCACCGTTAAATGACGCCGACTCATAGGCCGTGGTTCGGCCGATGGGGCCTGTCCAATCCTACATTTTGGACGAGGCCGAAGTCCTCGTGAGAAATTGCAACCGCAACAGTCGCGAGTTAAACTACCCTCAGTCCTTCAACGAACTTAAAAGTCTTTCCACTCCGATTTCAGTTCTAAGATTTCCTCTGGATCGTGTACTTGGTCAGTAAGGGGACGCGCCGATGAGCATGCTCCCAGTAATGAAACTGGCGGGCCAAATGGTCAATCGCAAACACCCGTCGCGAACTCGCATACGGTTCGAACCTGGCTGTCCAAGCAGTTACCGCCCCACTCTGCCTGGCCTATCTCGTGAAATATTTACCGATATTCTGATATTTGCTTTCGATTAGAAAGGATCACTTAGGCGGACTTTTAAGGCTAATTGTCGTGCAACATAATCCCCGGATATTTTACCTACGTCAGGATGCGGGTCCTTGAATGAGCTTCTGTCCGGCTGCCTCAAACACCGCACTCAGTTAAGACGACTGCTTCAGTAGTATGCATTTTTCCATCGACCTTCGATACGCTTATGAATTCAAATGCGTTTAATAGGAAACATGCGTAAAAATATTCTCTCTTGTCCTCATCTGGTAGCTAATCATGTGGTCAGATATTATTTCGTAGTCGTACCTGCAGTAGACAAGCCCAGCCTAACCGCCAACTCTAACCCCTAACAGGTACGACTACAAAATAAGATCTTGCCAATCATGTCTTCTTCTTCAGGATTTCTACCTAACGAAAGGGTTCTTTCGGCTTTAAAAAATCTTTGCAATTAAGAGTTTTTGTTAGAATTGTGGCAGGTCCACTCATACAACGTCCTATCTGTCTGTTTACTGGTGCTAATTATGGAGTGTACGAAATGATCCACATTCATTAAAAGACTCTGTGAGCCCTATATGACATTTTTATAGCGTAGAGGAATGCACACCACATGGAACGTATGCGGCGTTTCGTTTGGAACCCCCGAGCCAAGTCAGACTGCTAGCCGGACCCAAAGTTATTTGGGAATCGGACATTTTTTTAAAATCTAAAATGCCCTTTCTTCGGGTATAAACTTTTAAGAAGACGTAATTTGCTACCAGGTGAATGCAAGAAAGAATATTTTTGCATTTTCTTCCTATAGAGTATGTTTGAATCTACAAGGGGATCGAAAGTCAACGGGGAAAATTCATATTACATAAGTAGTCATCTGCAAGCTGCCGGACAGAATCTCGTTCAAAAACCGGCATCATTTCGGGACATAAATATCATGTGACTATGCTGGACAATGATTGATATTACAAAAACATCTAAGTAATCCTTGCTAATCGAAGCCGAATTTCTGTGAACATTTGGTGAGGTGGGCCGGTTGCTGTAGTTACGAAGCCGCAACGAATGCTCGACACAGCTAACGACTCAAACGTCGTCTGTCTGACGGCATAGGGCCTGCATCCTATACGCATTGCAGTATATGTGCTTCCCTATTTCTGTCTATACCGTTCCGAGCAAGAATCAAAATAATTTTACTAAGGATCGCGTACAGTTCTTCAATCATCTATCGAGTGAAAACGTTGAGTCGACCCACAAAGAAGCTAACCGTTTTTTGGTTTATTCCTCTGTGGCGTTCAGCAGTCCAACGTTTAAATAATAACTGACGTCTCTGGGCAGATACCCCGACTAAGATGGAATTCCACTTTTACTGAGGAAACGCAAGACCAGATGTTAATTTCATTTTTCACTAACTTGGGCGTTTTTGAGGAAACAGGTAAGGGCGGGTGGTTTTGGAGTAAAGCTGCTCGACTGCCAGTGGGTTACTGCGTTCCTGCACTTTATGTGATCGCCCTACACCTGACAGAATGCTCTAAAATGAGACTATGGCAAAAAGTGAGGAAATTGGGTGCATTTATCTCGTCATGCTGAAAAATGCACCTGCCAATGGCGTTTATTTGGGAACGTCAGGGGGAATTTTATAAGACCGACTACCGTTGCAAACCACATCTGTGTGTATTTACTCTGTTCCTCCATCTTCCATATCCCCTGCTCATTCACCCTGCCCACTGCCTCACCCTTCTCCTCCCTTACCCTCTACCCCTCCGTCCCGCATGCTTCCTTCCCCTACATGTCTACAGCATCCAACTGCAACATCCTCCTCCATCATAGCATGCAGTCAACCCTCTTCGACTATACCTCCTGCTTTCATCACTCGCAGCGGCCGTCACGTTGATTTCCCCGATCGTTTAGTTGCGCATTTTTTCTTGGCTTACGCATATCCTCGGGCGCCGTATTACGTCGCTTTCCTGTCTAGTAGGCGGGTACTGTGGTGAGGTACCGGACTAAATTACCTTTGACAATTCAGTCCC